GTAGCTTAGATTGAAAGATTTCTGGGTGTTTTTTTGTTGTTGTTGTTGTTTGTTTTTTGAGACAGGGTTTCTCTGTATTGTTTTGGAGGCTGTCCTGGAACTGGCTCTGTAGACCAGAATGGCTTCGAACTCACAAAGATCAGCCAGCCTCTGCCTCCCGAGTGCTGGGATTAAAGGTGTGCGCCACCAACGCCAGGCTTGGGTGATATTCTTATTGATAGTGGCTGAGGTGAAGGTTTGGGCATAGCCTGTGTTAAAGATGACTGCAGTATTAGGCTTTAAGGATAATCATAATCAAAGGAAAGTTTCTGTCTCCCAAATGATAGAATTAAAGGTGTGTGCCACCACACTAGGCTTGATTTTTATTTAAATATTTCAAATTTATGTTTCAAATATCTAAGTTGATAGTGTTGGTAGTGGTGGTGCACGCCTCTAACCCCAACACTTGCAGAGGCAGGCAGATCTCTGTAAGTTTGTGGCCAGTCTGGTGTACAAAGCAAGTTCCAAGACCGCCAGGGCTAAACAGAGAAAACCAAACTGAACCAAAAACAAAACAAAACAAAAATCCAACTTACTATTGTTAGTTACTATATTGTTCCTGAATCAGCAAATTGCCACGGACCGTGTGGCTTCAGTAACACAAATCTGTTCTCTCACAGTTCTAAAGGCCAGAGTTTGTAAGCCCTGACATCAGCAAGGTTGCTTTCCCTCCAGAGGCTGTGAGAGGGACTCCTCTGGCCCTTTCTCACTTCCTGTGTTGGCTAACTAACATAATAACTGAATTATGGCCACTTGATTCTAACCTCGACCTTTTCTTTACTTCTTTGAATCTGTTTTCACTATGTCTTATAAAAATACTTTGTTGTGTGGAATGTGGTGGCACAAGCACTTGAGAGGTGGTTCTTTGTGAGTTCAAAACCAGTGAGGGCTATAAATTGAGACCCTATCTTGAAAAAAAATATTTTGTTAAGACTGACTTGCATAATGTAGGAAATTTAATTACAAGATACCTATCACCAATAAAGCAACATTCACAGACTTTGAGTACTAGGACATGAGCACGTTTTCAGTGGTCACCCTTGTCAGCCTACTCCAGGTACTTCTTCATTACTCTGAATTTAATATTTAAATCTTGGCTTTGTTCCATATTGCCTTTGTAACTTTTCTCAAGTTAATTCAGTTTTTTGATATGTAAGTATAGTAAATGATAACATACATTTTATTTGCACAGAAAAAAATGTAATGATGTAAACCTAGTTAGTTAGATTCAGTTATATCTGGAAATATAATTTCAGGAGTTTGAAATAGAAGAGTTGATAAAAATCTTTTTAAATAAATTTAGTATAGTTTTAGGCACATAGAAAGATTTGCTTACCGGCAATGGTGACTCATGCTTTTAATCCCAGCACTCGGGAGACAGAGGCAGGCAGATCTCGGAGTTCGAGACCAGCCTGGCCTACAAGAGCTAGTTCCAGGACAGCCTCCAAAGCTATACAGAGAAACCCTGTCTTGGAAAACCAAAACAACTCCCCCCCAAAACAAACAAACAAACAAAAAAACATTTGCTTAATGTTATTAAGTTGTAGAAGGGAATATTGAGAGAGGTTTTTCTGACATGTCTTGTTTCCTCTTTGGAGTTTCTGAGATGTTAACATTTGAAAAGAAGAATGTTTTAACTTTCATAGATATTGAGACTAGAGCTTACTATAGTTTCAGCCCTTACTGGTTGGTCCTGTGATTTTTCCAGATATATTTGAGTTGCTTAGTGATAGGTTTGGTTTGTGCTTTATATGTTAGAAAAGGCCTTTGCCTCAAGGAAGAACCTTTCAAGTAATATGTCTTGGTTATTACAGATAGCTTTATTATCTTTTTAAGACAATGAAGTATGATTCTTAGATTCCTTAGTAGGGCTGTTCTGAATGTTTGCTGTTTATAACCAGTAAGTTTTTAGGAGAAGTGAGAAAATGTATATTATGAAATTTTTGCAAGGCTTTAGAAATAAACAATTGACTATTAATGGTTTAACTTTGTATTTTCATATGTCCTGTGTAATATCACTGACCAAATGAAAACGACATAACGTCATTCTGAAAGTATATAGAGAAAGTGGAACCTTCTTGTATTCTTGGTGGAATTGTAATCTGTTTGTAACACAGTGTGGCAGGTCCTCAAAGTAAGCAAAGAGTTACATAAGATCTGCCAGTTTTTTCCTGGATTGAATTCAAGAAATTGGAGACTTATGGATAAGATGGCCTGCAAACCAGAATTCAGTTTCCCCAAATCCAAGGCTTTTTTTTTTTTCTTTAAATTTTTTTTTATACTACACATTTTCTCATCCCCCAACTCTTCCCGGATCCTCCTACCCTTCCTACCCACCCAGCTTCATGTTCACCCCACCAAAAAAACAAAAAACAAAAAAACATAAGACAAAAACGCAAAGGACAAAACAAACAAACCATATAAGACAAAAAGCAAAACAAACTAAAAACCACTAAATAAATAAAGCCATGGAACTGTGCAAAAGGAGGGAGAGCAGGAAAGAATAAGAGCTGAAAATCAAGCAGTTTGTTATATACCTATAATGCCAGGAGGTAGACTACAGAGTGAGGTCCAGGCTATAGTATAAGGCTATTTCTAAACAAACAAACAAACAAACAAACAAACAATTAAAGGCAGGAGCAGACCCACCTGAAAGTATATACACCCAAGCACAATGTTACTCACAATGCTGTTCTTAATTGACAAAAGTGGTAAGTTCACCAGTTGATGAATGTAAACAAAATGTGACATACTAATGCAGTGGATAATTATTCAACAATCAAATGAAATATTCCTGTCAGAATATAACTTAACCTTCAAAAGATTGCATTATTTGAAAAAAATAACTCACAGAAACACATTTTTTTACTCCATCCTATCACACATAGAAATTAGATAGATCCATGGAGACAAATAGTAGGTAGGGGCAGAGGAGAGGGGTAGAGCAGTGGCCAGCTATCAAATGTGCTCTTTGGGGTAGGATGATGAAAATTGATGGTGGTAATTGTTGCATAGTTTTGCAAATATGAATTGTACACTTAGACAAATGACCTTAAATATTTACCTCTTATTTTATAGTTTGCCAACATCTAATGCCACATTGAGGACTCATTTTCCTTCTGTTGATCAATCATTCAAGATGATTTTTTTCTTAAAACATATTCTGTATACACATACATGCTTACATTTGTTTGGAAACCAGTAAAAGATAGTAGATGGCCTGGAGCTGGTGTGGGTGTTGAGAAACAAATCTGAGTTATCTTACAAGACCAGTAAGCATTGTGAACTTCTGAGCCATCTCTCATTATTAGCGCATTTTTTGGGGCGGAGGTTAGATTATAGGTGTTTCATTTTTGTTTTGTTTTTGCTTCAAGCTCTGATTGTGTATCATTTCCTTCCCACATACATAAAGATGACATATATGAAGATGAGAATACAGAAGCAGAGTTAAATTGTGTTGATACTAGGACATTTAAGAGGACAGTGGCAGGCGGATCTCTGTGAGTTCGAGGCCAGGCTGGACCGACAACCTCCAAAACAATACAGAGAAACCCTGTCTCATAAAAAACCAAAAAGAGAAAAAAGAGGACAGTGGCAGTCAGGTGGCGGTGGTTCATGCTTTTAATCACAGCACTTGGAAAGCAGAGGCAGGTGGATCTCTGTGAGTTTGAGACCAGCCGTCTAGTTCCTGGATAGTCTCTAAAGCTACACAGAGATACTGCTGTCTTCAAAAACCAAAGCAAACCGAAACAAAACAAAAACACCACAGTGGCATGTTGTATTCCAGACATTGCATAATTCACTATATATGTTTCTTATTTTTCTGTCAAATACCTACCAGCACATAATATGTCTTAAACCTTCTTGGTCTTTACATGTAATATCATTTTGCTATAATTCTTTCAGGTCAAATATTAAAAAAAAAAAGACATTAGACAATGTATTTTTCAGAAGAGGTCTCTAGGTTGTTTCTCAAATTAAACTTCCTTGTTTTTACATGAGATGTCTGAACCAACAAGTTTCATGTTTCTCCTTAACTAACATAAAAAGTATTCATTGGGCTTGTAGAAGCCATGAGTTTGGCTCCCAGGTCAGCTTACAATGCCTGTAACTCCATCACTAGAGGATCTGACGCTCTCTTTTGGCCTCCATGGACACTGCCCTCACGTGTACGCACGCGCACGAACACACACACAAATACCTTTTCCTTTTTTTTTTTTTTTTTAAATGGGCTTGGAGAGATGCCTCAACACAGTACTGTCTGCTCCCCAGGATTGATAACTAGCACCCCCATGGCACCTTGCAACTATCTGTAACCTCATTCCAGGGGATGCCACACCCTCTTCTGGCCTCTATGAGCACCAGACATTGCATGCATGTAAAAAGCAAAATTTAAAATGTACTCATAGTGTTAAACCTTATAGAACATAAAGATATGCCTGCAATGACTTCAGTGTAGTTAGTTGTTGAGATAAGCCTAAAGCTTGTGACACAAGGGAAGGAATGGCATGGTTAAAACAATGGAAGAACTTTGAAGTGGAAATTGCCTTATTGTCTTCGATTTAAAATTTTCACAACTTTCCACCATGTTGGATTGTTATTATTCACCTTTAAGTTTACTTTAGGACCATAGATAGTCTTGGGACCTTATTCTAAGTTCTGATTTGATAACATGATTTATACATGACTTCCTGCTTCTTTAATCACTTCTAAAATATAAAACAATGAGAAGTAATAAATACTAATACTCGCCCCTTCCCCATCCTATCATCCTACACTAGAACTTTCTGAGGAAATAAACTGAAAAGGGAGACTGTTTGCAGGACAACTCCAAAAAGAAGATCCTTCCCTAAAGTGTTTGGTCACAGTTCTTAACAGGTAGCAGCATATGATCTGGGGAAGGAATGGTGCTTGATAGCAACTCTGATAACACAATTTTTCCTTGTCATTTTTCCCCCTAGTATCATCTAGACTGTCACAGCCATCCTCTCCCCAGTCAGGCTGCCCATCACCCACCATCCCAGCAAGTAAAGTCATTTCTCCATCACAGAAGCACAGCAAAAAGGCATTGAAGCAGGTAAACATTAAGTCTGTATTTATCAGAAGAATAACCTCTCCAATTAAAAATAATTAAGAAAGCCAGGGCTGTTACAGAGAAGCCCTGTGTGTGGGTGTGGGTGTGGTGACCATGTGCATATATACATGTTTCCATGTCTGGCACACAGATATGGGTGCATATTAATGTTTCTACACTTTATATCTCATAGCATGTAGCATGTGTGTATATACATGTTTTTATGACTATGAACACAGATGTGGTTATATGTTCCAAATATTATATCCAAATTTCTAAGACTTGGAAGAGGGAATTTTTGTTTGTTTTTTGCTATTTTGTTTTTTGAGACAGAGGTTCTCTGTAGCTTTGGAGGATGTTCTGGAACTAGCTCTGTAGACCAGGCTGGTCTCGACTCACAGAGATCCTCTTGCCTCTGCTTCCCGAGTGCTGGGATTTAAGGCATGTGCCAACACCCCCCCCCCCCCCCCCAGCAAGAGGGAATTTTTTGTGTGTGTCTGTGTGTGTCTATGTCTTTGCATACACATGGAGGTCAGAACAACTTTTGGGAGTCACTCCTCCTCTTCCACTGTATGGGTCGTCAGTATTCAACTCTGATACTGAGGTTTGAAGATCGGTCCCTTTACCCACTGAACCCTCTCACAGGCCCTCTTTCTTTTTAAATGGTCATTCTGAATAATATCATTGTAACTCTAGTAATTAAGAACCTCTTAGAAATAAAAATGACCTAAAGCCAGGTGTTAGTGGCAGCTCATACACACCTTTAATCCTAGCACTCCAGAGGTAGAGGGACGTGGGTCTCTGTGAGTTTGAGGCCAGCCTGGTCTACAAGAGTGAGTTCTAGGACAGCTAGGGCTGTTATGCAGAAAAATCCTGTCTCGAAAAAACCAAAGGGAGGGACGACGACTATCATTTGGGCAAGTCTCTTCACTCTTACTCAAGGTAATTCAAGTACTTTTTAAAATGAACCATATATAAAGTATAAATAATACACATATTTGCCTTTTCTCATAGAATCAATGCATATTGAACTCATACTGGTATATGACTTTAATTCTGTTTTCAGGAATGTTAAAAGTGTGTAATTCTCTAATTAGAAGATTGTAAATTTCTTGCCTTACTGCTGACTTTTAAGTTCCGGAGGGGCAGAAAGAATGATTTTTTTTTCCCTTACAACTATATGTAATAGAATAATCTTGGTCTCCCCCCAAAGTATCTAAATTCTATAGGTCATTTAGGCCTTGTGGCAGTTTTATTAAATTTAGGGTCTTGTTTGTATTGAATATATATCAGAATAGGTTCTCACCATAACTGATGTCACTCACTTACTGAAAACCAGTTTGCTTGTTTCTTACTGCCAGTTTTTCTTTATAGGCCCTAAAACAGCAACAACAGAAGAAGCAGCAGCAGCAGTGCAGATCGAGCATGTCCATCTCCAATCAACACCTCTCTCTCAAGACCGTCAAAGCAGCCAGTGACCCTCTACCTGCCAAACCTGGTAGGCAATGCGACTATTCTTCCCTCCCCAATGAAATTTTGTGTTTCCCAGTGTATTTGTACTTTTTGTTGTTGTTGGTTTTGTTTTTTTGTTGTTGTTGTTGTTTTTGCTTTTTTTGTTTTGTTTTGGTTTTCTTTTTTTGTTCTTTTGTTTTTGTTTTCGAGACAGGGTTTTTCTGTATAGCTTTAGAGCCTATCCTGGCACTGGCTCTGTAAACCAGGCTGGCCTCGAACTCACAGAGATCCACCTGCCTCTGCCTCCCAAGTGCTGGGATTAAAGGCATGCTCAAACAATGCCCGGCACATTTGTACTTTTGATGTTGTAAATTTTTATACTTTATTATTTTTAAATTGCTATTTTACTAGCATAATCTTTCTGCTGCTATACAAAACTGATATAAATTCTAGGATAAGGTCTGATGGTGGTGGCACACACCTTTAATCTCAGCACTGAGAGGCAGAGTCAAGCAGATCTGAGTTCAAGGCCAGCCTGATCTGTATAGAGCTAGCTCTAGGACCACCAGTGCTACACAGAGAAATCCAGTCTCAAAAATCAAAACAACAAAGCAAAAACAACAACAAAATCCTAGGGTAAATAGGAAATATTTTAATATAAAATTGCCATGTACTTGATTAAAAGTACAGGATTGTATTTGGAAACCCATATTTATTAACTTTGTAAATCTATTGTTTCCAAGGTCAAAGTGACCTCTGTCTCTGTATGTATGTAGGCAGGTGCATACGTGTTTGTACATGCATGTTGAGGTCAGAAGATAGCCTCATGTCATTCCCCTATACCATGTTGTATTATTTTGGACAGTCTCTTACTGGCCTGTGACACCTGGTTCAGGCTAAACTGGCTGACCAGCAAACTTCAGGAATCCTCCTGTCTCCACTTCCTACACTGAGATTACGAGTGTGCTGTACTGACTTTGGCTCTTTATGTGCTTTCTGAGGATCAAACTTAGGTTCTTGTGCAAACTTATGCAACAAGTACTTTTTTGACTTCGCCATCTGTGCAGCCCCAAAGTGAGCTCTTTACCAATGTTCTTTCTCATTTAAAATATGAAGATGGGGCTGGAGAGGTGGCTCAGGCATTAAGAATATATACCGATCTGATTCCATCTTCTGGGCATACAGGGAGGGCAGTAACATACATGCAGGAAAACGTTCATACACAAAATCAAAATAAAATTTAAAATGAAAAGTGAAAAATAAGTACGCATTGCTTAGTTTCCATTTGGATATGTTTCATGGACCTTATTTGTTGTTTATTGTTTTGTTTTTAACTTTGTTTTGCCACAGATTTTGTTTTTTATTATATAATTCAGTTGAATACCATAAGCTGATTCTAGGAACTGCCATAAAAGTCAAAGGTCTGAATCTTTTTTTCATTTTTGTTAGAAAAAATATTTGCTATTGGAGATAAATAGTATGAGTGAAGATGTAAGGGTTTTTATTTTACAAAGCAATCAAGAGGCCTACATTTCTTCATTTATAACTTCTATAGTTACCATGAAATAATAGTTTGACTTGAATAATGGTTTCATGTTTTTATTTTATTTTATTTTTTAAATTATTATATTTGTGGGGCTGGAGAGATGGCTCAGAGGTTAAGAGCACTGCCTGCTCTTCCAGAGGTCCTGAGTTCAATTCTCAGCAACCACATGGTGGCTCACAACCATCTGTAATGAGATCTGGTGCCCCCTTCTGGCATGCAGGGATACATGCAGGCAGAACACTGTATTCATAATAAATTAATAAATAAATAAATATTTTAAAAATATTATATTTTTTGGGGTCTGGGGAGCAGCATGTGGAAGTCTGTGGCTTACTTGAGGGAGTCAGTTTTCTCCTCCCATGGGATAAGTCAGGCTGTTGGGGTTGCCACATCTAGCTGTCTTGCTTACTGTTTGCTTATGACTCTCATTATCATCCATCTTTACATTTTTTCCCTTAGCCCTATGGGAAGGAAAACAATCTGATGGGCAGTCAAACAGTCCCCAGAACTCAAACTCCAGCTTTTCTTCTTCAGTCAAAGTGGACAGTTCTCTTCTAGGCTTGGGGAAAAAGTCGTTCCAGAGGTCTGACAGACTCCACACAAGTAAGTTAGTTTACAAAGACTTCTGTTTTCGGTGCAATGATGTGTACACAGTATGCTTAAAATTCATCAGCTATTTGGCTTGAGTTTATCCATAATTTGAATTTTATTTTAAAAAGCCTGACGTGATTCCTTCCTTCCTTCCTTCCTTCCTTCCTTCCTTCCTTCCTTCCTTCCTTCCTTCCTTCCTTCCTTCCTTAATTCCTTCCTTCATCCCACCCTACCTCCCTCCCTTCTTGTTGTCCTTCTGTTTTTGTTGTTGTTTTGTTCTGTTTTGGGTTTTTTATTGTTTTTACTTTTTTGAAGCAGGGTCTCAGTTTGTAGCTCTGGCTGTCCTGGAGCTCACTATGTAGACCAGGCTGACCTTGAAATCACGGAGATCCACCTGCCTCTACCTCCCAAAGTGCTAAGCCAGACTTAATTTCTTTCTGCTGACATTATTTGGATTTTTAAATAAATGTTTTTGATACAATTATTTGGGGTTTTTATTTTGTTTTGCTTGTTTGTTTCACACTGAATATTAATAACCCACAGTCTTGAATGTGGTAGGGAATTGCTCCACACCCGAGCTATACATCTCTAACCCCAGCTTGTCATAATTGTTCATCTTTTTTTTTTTTTTTTTATTAAAGTCCTTTTGGAGTTGTGTTTTAGGTGATAGGTATAGATCTATTTGAATTCTTCTACAGGCAGCCATCCAGTTTGACCAGCACTATTTGTTGAAGATGCTGTTTTTGTCTCAGTGTTCTTGTTTTTCAAGACAGGGTTTCTTATTTTAACAGCTCTGATTGTTCTGGAACTAGCTTTGATGATGAGGCTAGCCTCAAACTCACCGAGATCGCCTGTCTGCCTCCAAAGTGGTGGGATATGAGGCAATCGCCACCACTGCTTAGATATTTCTGTCTTCTTTATCAAAAATCAAGTGTCTATAGGTGTGTGGGTTCATGTCTGGGTCTTCAGTTTGATCCCATTGATCATTATGTCTGTTTTTAATGCCAATACCATGCTGTTTTTATTACTATAGCTTTAAGATCATGAATGGTGAGACCTTCAGTTCTTTCACTGTTCAGGATTGTTTCAGCAACCCTGGATTTTTTTGTGTTTCCATATGAAATCAAGAATTGTTCTTTCAAGATCTTGGAAGAATTTTGATGGGGATTGCATTGAATCTATAGATGGCTTTTGCTGAGATAGCCATTTTTACTATATTAAACCTACTGATCTGTGAGCATGGGGGAATCTTTCCATTTTCTGAAATCTTCAGTGTTTTTCTTCAAAGGCTTGAAGTTTTTGTCATTTGTTTTCCTTGCTATTTGACATGCATTGTACTTCATCATTTCTTTATTTGTTGGTTTTTTTGGGGCATCGTTTCTCTGTGGTTTTCTGCCTCTGTCTCCTAAGTGTTGGGATTATAAGCATGTACCTTCACATCTGGCTTATATTTTCTATTTAAAAATCTTCAGTGGCCTCTGTGTTTGTATGTGTGTTATGATTATGTATGTATCACAGTGCCTAGATGCAGGGCACAGAGGAAAGTTTCAAGTGTTGGTCCTTACCTTGTACATTACGTCGGCTCTCTTCCCCTTATTTATTCATTTGAGGCTTTAGTATATAAATGCAATATATTTTGATTTTTATCTATTCCTACTGATTCCCCAGCCTTCCCTTGGTCACCCTTTAACATTTTTGCCTCCTAATTTTATGTTTTTTTTTTTTTTAAATAACCCAACAAGTCTAATTGAAGCAGGTCTCTGCTGTTTGCCACTGTAAACACAGACTAGCTGGCTGCTGTGCTTCCTTTCTTTACTGCCCATCTTGCTGTAGGAGCCATGGAATCATAGACACATTACCATATCCAGTTTTTAAATAGGTTCTGGAGATTCCAATTAAGATCTCATGTTTACATGTCAAGTGTTTTGCCTGTGGTGCCATCTCCTCAGCCAGATTTTCTGTGTCATTTCTCATCAACTTGTTTGATTGAGAGAAAGTTTATCTGTTAGGTAATGATGAACAATTTACTTTTAGAGATTTGTTTTTGTAGATTGTATTTTTTTATTCTTTATAAATAAGCAGAGTTTATTTCCTTTGCCTTAGAAGATATTTCTAATATCTTTAACTCTGACTTCTTCGGCGTGTTGTAGTGTTTAATTTTGATTTTTTCCCCCTTTTTGTAAGTTGAGGTACTGCACGACAAGCTATGGTTGGTTATAATCCAAAACTGTGAAAGGAGAGGGCCAAATGATAAATTATTATTTTCTATATTTTGAAGGACAAATGAAAAGGACTAAATGTGCTGACATTGATGTTGAGACACCTGACTCCATTCTGGTTAATACTAATCTTCGAGCACTGATTAACAAGCACACCTTTTCAGTTCTCCCTGGAGACTGCCAACAGCGCCTGCTTTTACTGCTTCCAGAGGTGGATCGACAGGTGGGTCATGTCACACATGAGCGATTCTCTAAAATGAGACTTCTAGCATTCATCACCTTTAGAACTTCATAAGGTTTTGTTTTCTTAAGGTAGTATCTCATGTATTCTAGACAGGACTTAAACTTACTATGTAGCTGAGGATATCCTACACTCTTAGGTTTACTTCTGAGTGTTGGGTTACAGATATGTGTGTCACCATGTATTTGTATATGTGTTGCTAGAGATAAAAATCCAGGGCTTATTTGTGCTAGTCAAACAGTCAGCAATCAGCTTCATTATACGCCTAATTCTCAAAAATTTAAGAGGATTTTTTAATATATTCCTATAAATGTGTGGTATTAATGCTACTGTTGTGTGATTTTTTTTCCTTGGCAAGCTTTGAAGAAACATACTAGATAAAATACCACCAATCAACAAAAGAAAAACCAAAACAAACAAAAACACTATGAAAGGAAGGCGTTTTCCTTCGTGTGTAGTAACAGACTATCATCCCTTGTTTATAGGAAGAAATGCCTAAGGGAAACTGCACAAATGATTATAGCTAATTGGACTACAAAGTAAAACGAGTTCTTTTTGTTCTGAAATCTTTGTTTTGTTTTATTGTTGAGACAGGGGTTTATCTTTGTAGCCCTGGCTGTCCTGGAACTTGCTCTGTAGATCAAGCTGGTTTCAAACTCAGATCCTCAAGTCTCAGAAAAAAGGCTGTTTTCTATGAGACTCGCTGTGATACCAGTTTCTTAGTGCTATAATCAGCACATATGATTGGTCCTTTTGGATAATTGAAATAATCAGTATTCTTGCAGCAATAGGGAGAAAAGGAGAGCTGTTCCTGGTGATTGCAGAACCTGTCCTGGAATTCACTCTGTAGACAAGGCTAACTTGAAACTCACAGAGATCCGCCTGTCTCTGCTTCCTGAGTGCTGGGATTAAAGGCGTGCGCCACCACTGCCTGGCTCCAGCATGGTTTTTAAAGGACTTGGTTGACTACATGGCTGGTTTCTTCCGTATGTGTCCTATGTTTTATGTTGTTCCCACCCTCCAAGTGGAATTGTTGGCAGAATAATAAGTTAGAGATAATATAGGAAACATAATTAATAACCTATTTGTTCAATTCCGATACTGCTTTCTGAGAAGCATTGATGCTCCTTTCTGGCTTCTGATAGAAGTTTACCATATGTAGTTTATTGTTTGTGGTAGTGGTGGTAAAGATATTCTTCAATTTTATGAGTATTTAGCATGCATGTATGTGCATGTGCAGTATGTGTGTGGGTGATGCCTGAGGTGGCCAGAAGAGGACCCTGCGTCTCCTGGAACTATACTTGTGATAGTTAAAGCTGCCATGTGAGTTCTGGGGACCAAACCTGTGTCCTCTGCAAGAGCAAAAAGTACTTTTAACCACACCCCATCTCCGTCTTAACTCCTACCATGTGAAGTTTGTGGGTTTTGGATTTTTTTTTCCGCAGAAAGGGTTTCTACATGTAACAGCTGTGGCTGTCCTGGAACTAGCTCTGTAGGCCAGGCTGGCCTCAACTCACAGACATCTTCCTGCTTCCCAGGTGCTGGGATTAAAAGTGTGTGCCTGCACACCCCTATCCCCCATCATCCCCATGTGTAGTTTAATAAAAGGAACCCTAAAAGTTTTCTAGTTGAAATTCCCAGAGCTATGAATATGATAAGAAATGAGAGTGATACTGAGAAGACACAGTTTTAATTAAGTGAGCTTATAGCTGAAGTTACCGTGTGTTCAGTGTGGATAATGTTTATGTCAAATACTGTAAACAAAATTTGTTGTTATTTTGTTTGTTTTTGGTTTTTCAAGACAGGGCTTCTTTGTGTAGCTTTGGAGCCTGTCCAAGGACTGGTTCTGTAGACCAGGGTGGCCTTGAATTCACAGAGATCTGCCTGCCTCTGCCCCTCAAGTGCTCGAATTAACAGCATGGGCCACCACCACCAGGCTTGTGAACGAAGTATTTTTGAACATGATTTAAGTGACACTTTCTTAAATTGTATTTTAAGTAAGAGTTAAATGTTTTGTTTTTTTTTAAGATAGAAAAATTCACATCTTTAGATGTATAGATTAAAAAAATTTTTTTTCAATTAAAAATTGTCCCATGGCCTGTGGTTTCGTGGACAAAAGAATTTGCCCTTAAGCCTGACAACCTGGGTTCAACCCTAGCACTCAGCATCTATGAGTTTGAGGACAGTTTGACTGTTATACAGAGAACCCGTCTTGAACTGCCCCCACCCCCCAAAAAAGAAAAGTATAGCTATATAAGGTGGCACATTTCTTTAATCCCAGCAGTTAGGAGGCAGACCCCTGTAAGTTCAAGGCCAGCCTGGGCTACATAGCAATACCCTGTTGCAATCAAAGAAATGAAACAGTAAAAGTACATTTCTGCCAGGATGTTTGTTGCAGCTTTATTGATTATGGGAAGACATTGGTAACAAATTCATGTTAAGAAACATGCTTATCATTATTTGAAACAGATCATATAATGAAATAATATGCAGCAATTTCAAAGAAGCTAAATATATGCCAGTTAACTTGAATAGACTCACAATATACTCTGTGAGAAAACTAAAATTATAGTGTGATATATATATATATATTTATATAATTTATTCCCAATTCTGTAAAGAAAACAATAAGCTCTGCTAAGAAGAAAATACACATGGATTTAAGTATCACTCAACGAGCATTATTTTTCCAACATTGTGGAATGGAGCTGAAAGCAGAGAATAGAAAAGAGATGTGGGAGAGGGGTTTTTTTTTTTTTTTTAAAGGAGAAAATTGCAGTATGGTAAATGAGCTAGCCATGTTTGGGTGGGTCTATGTGCCTGTCTGTGCCTCTGTTTGTCTCTTTCCCTCTCTCTCCATCTCTGTGTCCCCCCACCCCCCACCCCCAAGAGCCTTGGCTGTCCTGTAACTCACTCTGTAAACCAGGCTGGCCTTGAATTCACAGAGATTACTTGCCTCTGCTTCTTGAGTACTGGGATGCCATGTTTTTGTGGGATGGACTGTGCATACTTTCTCTTTTGTCCTTACACCGTTTGTTTGAACATTTTCTTTGGCTTGCTCTTTGACCTAGGTTGGTCCAGATGGTTTGATGAAATTGAATGGTTCAGCCCTTAACAATGAGTTCTTCACTTCTGCAGCTCAAGGCTGGAAGGAAAGGCTCTCAGAAGGTAAGTATTCTGCCCTGTGATTCCCACAGTCTGTATGCCTAGGTAATGGAACAGTCAGGCCTCTCTAGAGGAACAGAACTTATGGAATGAATGTCTATAAGGGGGTTTATCAGGATGGTTTACTGTGGTCCAGCTAGTTCAACTGTCTACCAATGGAAGGTCCAAGAGTTCTTCACTTTTTCAGTGTATGCCAGAATCCTAAAGTAGGCTATAATGCCAGTGACGGGACAGACGTTCCACAAGGGCAAGTGAAAGCTTCCTTCTCACATGTCCTTTATATAGGCTGCTACCAAAAGGTGTGGCCCAGATTAAAGGTGGGGCTTTGCACTTCAAATGTGCTAAGGAAAAAAAATTCTTCACAGTTGTGCCCAGCCACTTGGGATTTTAGTTAATTCCAAATGTAGTCAAGTTGACAACCAGGAACAGCCATCATAGTGAAGGTCAAGAAGTTTCCTAAACAGCTTTTTCTGTCCTGTATGAAGTGATGTGACAAACACTTAATTGTAGCCCCTTGATTGAGTCTAGTTGAGAAACAAAACCATATATTTTTTAGTTGTGAGCCATTTCTTTAGCCCTATTTTAAAGTTTTAAAGCACTGTTTCTCACCTTTCTCGTTCAGTATTCTAGTATACTGTTAACTCAATGTGAAATGGACAGAAAGGGAAATGCTGAGTATACATGCTGTAGGATCCACTCATTTGAAGTGATAGAACTAGCTCTGTAGACCAGGCTGATCTCTAACTCACAGAGATCACCTGCTGCTGCTTCTGGAATACTGGGATGTAAGGTGTGCACCACTGCTGCCTGGCTCTGGTATCGGTTATTTAGTTATTGTCTTAGTTAGTTTTCTATTGCCCTGACGAAACATCAGGACCAAGACATCTTATAGAAAGAAAGCATTTAATTGGTGCCTTGCTTACAATTTCAGAACAATTATGCCTAGGAGGAGAGGCAGAGGCAGAGGCAGAGGCAGGCAGATCTCTGTGAGTTTGAGGCCAGTCTGGTCTACAGAGCAAGTTCCAGGACAGCCAGGGCTTTGCAGAAACCCTGTTGGGTGGGGGTAGGGTAGGGAGTAAAGGCCTCAAGCACAATTTTCTCTGAAGAAATCTGACTTTGAAATGGCAAGATATTCAATGGCATTGTTTACTGAAAGCACAATTGTCACTGCTCTAGTTAGCAGTGGGACTTGGAGAATGGAGCTGATAAATGACGCCTGAAGTCTCACGCGATTTCAGTCATAGCATTAGACAATTTATACTCGAAGGATTAAGAATAGTCACATGGGCCGGGTGGTGGTGGCGCACGCCTTTACTCCCAGCACTGGGGAGGCAGAGCCAGTCGAATCTCTGTGAGTTTGAGACCAGCGTGGTTTACCGATCGAGTTCCAGGACAGGCTCCAAAACAATACAGAGAAACCCTGCCTGGAAACCCCCCCCCCAAAAAAAAAAGAATAGTCACATGGGCAAGCTGCATCTGGCAGACAAACTGAACACAGCCAGTTTTATTGAATAATCAGAAGTAAACTCAATCCACTACACCTGGGAGGGGCACAAAAGCATAATCCACTAACAACTTGTGCTTTTGAAGAAACTGAGGTCACAAGACTTGTTTTCTTGGAGCTTGCTCACAAACACTGAGAATTCTCACATGGCTCCATTCTTGGACTGTGTCCCAGCACACATTTATTACTTTCATTCCATTAGGAAATATGATGTTGGAGATAAAAAAAATCTGTATGGTATATGAAGTTTGTAATTTGAAGAAGGTACTTTTGGGAACACCCGGAGAACAAGTGTTGCGGACCTTAACTGCATATTGAAAGCTACGGGGTACTTACTATGTGACTGCCTGAACTCCACCTAGTGGCGTTTCCTGTCTGACTAGTAACTTTGGGAGCTTGTTGCTTTGACAAGATAGTATTCATGAATAATGCCTTTCTGTTTGTGTCATTGTATGGATGCATCGCAGGTGAATTTACCCCTGAAATGCAGGTGAGAATTCGGCAAGAGATTGAGAAGGAGAAGAAAGTAGAGCCATGGAAGGAGCAATTCTTTGAAAGCTACTATGGTCAGAGGTAAGATAAGGCAGACTCTCTAGTCCAGATATTAATCCCTCCACACGTCATGTGATGCCTCCATGTTTTTACCTTACTAGAAAGTCTAGTGTCTAGTTTCTTGTACTTTTTGTCACATTATTTTTTGGGTGGAGGGTAACTTTTTGAGACAGAGTTTTTCTGTAGCTTTGGAGCCTGTCTTTGAACTTGCTCTGTAGACTAGCCTGGCCTAGAACTCACAGAGATCCGCCTGCCTGTGCCTCCTGAGTGCTGGATTAAAGGCGTGTGTCAATACCTCCTGGCCACATTAATTCTTTTTCATTCAGAACATTAAAAAAATTTTTTTAAAGAATCAACGAGTTGACAATTTTATCACTCATAATCCTTGGCCCTAAACTTACATTATTGGCAGGGATGGATTGCATTTTTTCTTCTCTTTAGAGTCTTTCCTTCTAACAGATTGGCTTCTAGTAATTTCTTGAGCCAGAATAATATTTGAGAGTTCTGTCTAACATGTAACTTACTTAAAACCAATCAAAAATCCTAAGAATCATGTAATGTGGGCCATTATACCAAACATGTAATTAAAATAATTTCTTCTGTGACTGGGAGATGTACATAAGTAAATCAAGACACAAATTTTGTTTTTAAAGGGCTGGAGTGTAAAATAGTTTTTTTTTTAATGCTATTGTCCTTTAACAGATTTATTTTATTTTTATTTTTTAAATTTTTATTATGTATGCATATAGTGTTTTATGCTTGGACAACAGAAGAGGGCACCAGATTACGGATGGTTGTGAGCCACCATGTGGTTGCTGGGAATTGAACTCAGGTCCTCTGGAAGAGCAAGCGGTGCTCTTAACCGCTGAGCCATCTCTCCAGCCCCTAAAATAGTTTTTTTTAACAACCAAAAATAAAATCAGAATGAAATCAAACTGGAGACATTTAATTGATAACAGAGACTCTTGGTTTGAATAGGTTTGTGCATTCCAATCCCTCTTTGTTGGTCTCTCTTACTTCTTTATACATACCAGTGAAAGCCATCAGAGGATTCCATTGATCTTAAGTGACTAGGAAGGAAGAGTGTTCATTGATACTCTTCCTTCCTAGTCACTTAAGATAGACCCTACTGAAATTAAGAATGTCAAATGCTAATCTGGTCGTGGTGGCACACACCTCTAATCTCAGGACTCAGGAGGCAGAGGCGGGCAGATCTCTGAGTTTGACGGTTGGACACCAACCTGGTCTACATAGTTCAGGACAGCCAGGGCTACAAAGAGAAAAACCCTGGCTAGAAAAAAATCCCAAATGCTGATTTTTCTTCAGTAAGCTATAAAATTGGTGGTGAGTGTATTATTGTAAGTTAGAGTGATTCTGTGGGTGCCTGTGCTGCAGTATGCTTTTGGAGATCAGAAGACAGCTTTTGGGAGTTGGTTCTCTCTACCATGCCTGGTTGAACCTAGGTGATCAGGGAAGCATCTTTTTCTTCTGAGACATCTTGGCTGGCCCTAGATAGACTGGTTTTTTTGTTTGTTTGTTTGTTTGTTTGTTTGTTTTATTTTGTTTTTTTGTTAACTAATTCTTTTAAGGTGAGAGGTAGAAAAAGGAAGGAAGGAAGGAAGGAAGGAAGGAAGGAAGGAAAACATTAAGAAGACTAACTGGTGCCACTTTTTGCCAGGCCACGCTGTGCACGTCACAGCTGACTTTTACCTCTGGATAGCTCAACAGTGGCATTCTCAGAACTTTGGATCTGGCCTGAATGTGATATCAACAGGCTCTCTACAAACTCATTCCTGGTCTGAGCTTCTGAAGAGCATTAATAACTTTGCTGCTGTCTTCTCAGGTTCACTCTGAAGGCTTGGGGTCAGGCTTTCCACAAACACCAATGAACAGAATTGATCACAGTTCTTATAGGTAGCCTGAGACTCTGTAGATAATGTGACTCCTATAGAAGCAGAACAGACAGTAACAGCTACCACTATCAAACTTTTACTGTGTGCCAAGTGAGAACTTCACCTGGAGTAAATTCATCGTAGCAAGGTGCAGAAGCCTAGTTAGTCAGTATCTTGTCTACACTTGTTACCAGAGCCAGGATTTGAATTTAATTACTTTGGCTCAGGAGTTCTATTGAAAATACTATGTGTCTGGGGTTTCCTAATTGCTGATGAAGTCTACTTTTCTTATGTATTAAGTAATGTGAACTGTTTCCCAACTAACAACATTTCCTTCAATTTTTTAGTTCTGGCTTAAGCCTTGAAGATTCACAGAAATTGACAGCTTCCCCGAGTGATTCCCAAGTAAAGAAAACTCCAACTGAGCAACCAAAATCCATATTTCCTTCAGAGTCCTCTCCTGTCAGAATCATCCCAGTAGTTCCCCAGTCAGAGTGTAAGCAAGAAGCAGTGCAAATACCATCACCAGTTAGAAAAGAAGAAAGCCAAGATGAGGCACAGCCAGGCTCTAAATCCCCAGAACCTGTCCTTGAATCAGCCAGCAATACAAATGAGCTTATCACCATTAAGTCTGTCAAGTGCCCTAAGGATGAGGGGCTCTCAGAGCAGAAGCCACTTGTCTGTGCTGAACAAGAGTCTGAGAAAGAAAATCATATCACCACAACTTCTAATTATAGCAAAAGTGAGAACCAAGAAGTGTCAGCTATATCCCCAAGCAAATCTAAAAATGCTGGGTTAGAAAAACCCATAACAAAGCCTGTTGCAGAAGCAGGTCCACTGGTCCCCGATGTGAAGATGCCTCCTGCAACTCTTACTGATCAGGTCGCAGAAAGTTTAAAAAGGAAATCTTCTCTTATCCAAGAAGAGACCACTAGCAGCTGGGAGAAAAGACCACGTATCACTGAGAATCAACAGCACCAGCAGCCATTTCAGGTCTCACAACAGCCCTTTCTTAATAGAGGGGACAGGGTCCAAGTGCGAAAAGTACCACCTCTCAAGGTAAGAAAGTGGTTGCACCTACTAAGTTTCATAACTTGTGCTGTTAACATAAAAGCAGTAGTATATATTTAATATACTTATAACTGTGGTATTATAGGGATAATAATAATCAGACTCTAGAACTGCTTCCCCTCCTCCCCCAAGTTCTTTCTTGATATTTGAGTAAGGAGCCTGAGTATGCAAGCCACCCCAGCCCCTGACACTCTTCTTTGAGGCAAAGTCTCTATACATAACTCAGACTGGCATTGATTTCTCAGGCTTTCTGTTGCTGTTTCTTGAGTGTAAATTATTGATCTTTTCTTTAGTGAATGTCAGTCTCAGATGAATTAGTTTGTTGTTATTGTTGTTGTTTTTATTTTTATTTTTTTCTAGGGTCTCACTGTGTAGGTAGTCCTGGCTGTACTGCAGCTAGTTTTGTAAACCATGCTAGCCTTGAACTCAAAGATCCACCTGCCTCTGCCTCCTGAGTGCTGGGATTAAAGGTTTGGGCCGCCACCGCCTGGCTCAGAAATGAATTCTAGACCTAGGAACCATATTCAATTTTGGTTTACTCCATAGTGGTTCTATACTGAACACTTGAATCCACTCTGACCAGATTAATAGTTTCTCCTTCAAAGGATTTTGTCAGAAGTTGTTTGATTCTTTTACTTTGTATCCTATCTAGCTTTCATAGACATAGGTTAATATAATTTATAACAGACTATAAAGTTTTAGACTGCTTGTTTCTACGTGCATATAATATCAGCACTGGAACGATAATGGAAAAAGATAATGAATTGGCTAACCCACCTAGGCCTTATCTCATAACAACAACAACAACAAAAGCTTTTTAAATAAATCTGAATTTTAGTATAAATGTTACAATTTGATGTATTTTGTTTGTTTTATGTTACATTTAAAGTAAAAAATCGAGCTGGGCGGTGGTAGTACATTTCTTTAATTCCAGCACTCAAGAAACAGAGGCAGGCAGATCTCGTGAGTTCAAGGACAGCCTGGTCTACAATTCCAGCACAGCTAAGGTCACACAGAGAAACCCTGTCTCTAAAATTTAAAAAAAGAAATTTAAAGTAAAAACTTTTTTAACTGCTTTGTTTAATTTCAGTATGTTAATACTGATGGCTTTTAAGTTATCATGTATTATGTTACATAAGGTAACATTCTCACATTATCTGTAATTCCTGTACTTGGGAGTATCACAAGTTTGAGGACAACCTTGGTCTACAATAGCATATACTCCACACATGCACACACCACCAAAATGTGTGTGTGTGTGTGTGTGTGTGTATACACACCTAGTACCCTCTGGCCCTATGCTTGAACTACGTAACTAAGGTTATTTTCCCCAAAACAAATTTCTTGTATTTTATTTTAAGGTTTTATCTATATTCTCCCATAGTCTCTACTCTATACTAACAAGAGTCAATAATTTCTTCTTTTTCCTCCATGCCACTTCTAAATTACCATGTGCTTAGTGAAAATGTTGTCTAAGCTTTGACAACCAAGTATTAATCACACTTTTGTTTGTTTTGTTATGTTGTTTTTTGGTTTTTTGAGACAGGGTTTCTCTGAGTGGCCTTGAACTCAGAGATCCTCCTGCCTCTACCTGTCGAGTGTCCAGGTAAACAAACTTCCTTTTTGTTTTGTTTTGTTTTGTTTTTACGAGACAGGGTTTCTCTGTATTGTTTTGGAGGCTGTTGGTCCAGCCCGGCCTCGAACTCACAGATATCCGCCTGCCTCTGCCTCCCGAGTGTTGGGATTAAAGGCGTGCGCCACCACCGCCCGGCCCAAACTTACTTTTTAAGTGCATGAATTTTGTGATAACTGTTACAAAATACCACAATGATTTCTAAAGAAAATTGAGTTTTAATACTTATGACTTTTTTAGTAATAAAAAATAGTGACTTCATAATTAATTAAATTTTTTTTTGTTTTTTGAGGCAGGGTTTCTCTGTATTGTTTTGGAGGCTGTCCTGGAACTGGCTCTGTAGACCAGGCTGGCTTCGAACTCACAGAGATCCACCTGCCTCTGCCTCCCAAGTGCTGGGATTAAAGGCGTGCACCACCAACGCCCCACAATTAATTTATAATTGAAGAATTTATAGAAACATGGCATAATTTTCTTTGAGTTTAATCACTTAATTTTTTTGAAATTAAATACTCTAGAAAGTTAATAATTTTTCCTCCTTTAAACTTAGCCAGATACTGAAAGGGTCCATATCTGAATGTACTGTAATTTATTTCCTTAACTTCTAAAGTTTTGTTTAGGACAGTTATCAGATTTTTTATGATATAGAAAATCAGTGGTTTCGGTTGGGCATCGTGACACATGGTTTTGCCTTTAATAGCAGAGGAAGGGGGATGGATCTCTGAGTTCCAGGATAGCAAAAGTACATAGTGAGATCCTGTCTCAAAAACTTTTTTTTCTTTAGTGTAATGCTTATTTTTCTAGTCATTCTGATTCATAAATTGGGGGATTAGACCCCAAATACTTGCATTTTAAAAAGTTTACATAAGGGCTGGAGAGATGGCTCAGAGGTTAAGAGCACTGACTGCTCTTCCAGAGATACTGAGTTCAATTCCTAGCAACCACATGGTGGCTCAGGACCATCTATAATTTTATCTGGTGCCCTCTTCTGGCCTGCAGGCATACATGTGGGCAGAACATTGTATACATAATAAATAAATAAATCTGAAGAAAAAAAAGTATATATGTATTTTTTAAAAAGTTTGCATAAATAAAAACAGTATTCACAGGAGGATGAAAATGCCTGGCAGACATTATATTTGATCACTTATGTGGATAGGCAGATAGGGTTGAACCTACTATTTTTATATATAATTTATTTTTATCATTTTATGTGCATCAGTGTTTTGCCTGCATGTATGTCTGTGTGAGGTTTTCAGATCTTTAAGTTATAGACAGCTGTGAGCTGCCATGTGGGCGCTCGGATTTGAACCCGGGTTCTCTGGAAGAACAGTCACTGCTCTTAAACCACTGAGCCATCTCTCCAGCCCCATATGTGTATTCTGAGACATAGAGCAACCATGTATTTCATTGTGCCCATCTGCTCTAGTCAGATGTGAAATTGATCTCTGCTTCCCCCTTCCCTCCTTTTTTCAGATCCCGGTCTCCAGAATCTCCCCGATGCTGTTTTCTACATCGCAGGTCTCTCCCAGGGCTCGTTTTCCAATCTCCATCACTAGTCCTTACAGAACGGGAGCCAGAACTCTGGCAGACATCAAAGCAAAAGCCCAGTTGGTCAAAGCACAAAGGGCAGCAGCTGCAGCAGCCGCTGCAGCTGCTGCAGCCGCCTCAGTTGGAGGGACCATTCCAGGACCTGGCCCTGGGGGTGGACACAGTCCAAGAGAGGGTGGAGAAAGAAAAACTGATAGAGGAGGGAGTCCAGGCTCAGAGAGAGCCAGTACAACTGGAAAGGGTCTCACACTGGAGCTGGCAGGACCTGGAAGCAGGGGAGGTACGAGAGAGCTTTTACCCTGTGGTCCCCAACTTGAGACCAATACATCAGGCCAAGCACAGCCTCCTGGTGTCTTTGGAGCACAACTACAGCAAACCTCCTCAGTGCCTACAGCACTTGCCATCAGTGGAACATGCACAAGCATCCCATTCCCAGCCCACATAGAGAAATCAAACAGTGAAACGCTGAACCCCCCCAAGGCAATAGCCACAGCACTCTCTCCTTGCCACCCTCAAGACCCAAGTAGTTGCAGACAGGAGAAAGCTTGTCCAGAAGGGCCTGCTCTGACCTCAAGAGCTTCACATGTTTGTTTTGTAGTTGATGGCACAGTTGAGCCCAAAGCAGGCCCTAGTAAGAATGCACCAAAGCCTTCAGCCTCAGCAAAGGGGGATACTTCTGCCCGACTGGAAATGACTCCTCCTCCTGTAGCATCCTTGTTGACAGCAGCCAGCTTAGAAAAACTCTCTGTGCCCCAGGTCAGTGGAACTGCACCATCTGCTGCATCAGCTTCATCCTCAAGCACTTTGACAACAGCTTCTAGCCTTAAAACCCCAGGAACTTCTGCAAATATGAATGGACCCATTTCAAGACCAAGTTCTAGTATCCCTGCTAATAACCCTTTAGTTACTCAGCTGCTCCAGGGCAAAGATGTTCCCATGGAGCAAATTCTGCCTAAACCTTTCACCAAAGTTGAAATGAAAACAGTCCCACTGACTACAAAAGAGGAGAAGGGGATAGGAGCATTCCCTGGTACCAATGTAATAGAAAGTAGCACCAGAGAGGAAGCTAATGGCAGGCAGGCCTATCTGGCCATCCCTCAACTGGGGAAACCCTTGCAGAATAAGCAGCTTCCCCAGGTCTCAAGGCCTGTCTTAGAAGCTAAGGACCTGAGGGACTCTTGCATTGACACTCACCAATACCCAGAAGGACTAAGTAAAACAAGTCAAGATGAGCTTTTTCAGACTCTCATCCAGAGGACTCAGAGACAGAGTGTTCTTTCGTTTGTGCCACCCTCTCAGTTCAGCTTTGCTCACTCAGGGTTCCAGGTGGATGATGTATCCACAAGCCAGAAATTCATGTTGGGCTTTGCTGGCAGAAGGACATCCAAGCCTGCAATGGCAGGTCACTATTTACTCAATATTTCTACCTATGGCCGGGGTTCAGAGAGCGTTAGGAGGACCCATTCTGTAAATCCTGAGGAACGATTTTGTCTAAGTAGCCCCACTGAAGACTTGAGAATGGGATATGCAGATTGTAAAAACACAGCTGGAGACAGCAGCAGCAGCAAAGAAGATGAAACCGATGAAGAGAGTGTGGGTGATGAGCAGGAGCTTGTGTCAGTGAAGGAGGAGCCCTGGGCTTCTCAGAGTTCTGGCAAGCATCCCCACAGTGGGGAGACTCCGTCCACCAATGACTGTTTAGCTGGCAAGAATGGAAAAGCTGAGGCACAAATGAATGAGCAAACCACTTTAGGCAAGGAGAATTACATATTCTCTAGAAGCCAAAAAACATTTGATGAAAAGACCCTAACCAGAGATTTTATTCAGGTGGCACATAAACAGATGGCTCATGCTGTGAGAAATAAGACAGTGTGTAGCAGCCCTGAGCTTTTCAATTCTACTGCTCTTTCTCTCCCTGCAGACAGTCCCACACATCAGCCTCTACTCCTCCCACCACTGCAAACCCCCAAATTGTATGGAAGCCCCACACAGATAGGGCCGAGTTACAGAGGCATGATTAATGTCTCCACCTCATCAGACATGGACCATAGCTCTGCTGTCCCAGGTAGCCAAGTATCTAGCAATGTAGGGGATGTTATGTCATTTTCAGTGACTGTCACTACCATCCCTGCTAGCCAAGCTATGAATCCCAGCAGCCATGGCCAGACAATTCCTGTTCAGGCTTTTCCTGATGAGAACAGCATCGAGGATGCACCCTCAAAATGTTACTGCCGGTTGAAAGCCATGATCATGTGCAAAGGATGCGGAGCTTTCTGTCACGACGACTGCATTGGCCCCTCCAAACTGTGCGTCTCCTGCCTTGTCGTTCGGTAACAAGACTGCAGTGTATGCAAAGGAGGGAAGGAAGGGTAGCTGTGACCAGATGTGTTCTTGCACCCTTTTGAAGTCACAGAAATAAAGTTTCAGTTGTCTCCAGAGACGTTAATCAGGAGCGCAGATGCAGGTCTTCACATTTGCAGGAAGAGCACCTTGTGTAGTAAGCCTTGAGTTCAAGGAGGACTATGAATTGGTGACAAGTTTGCACTTAAAAATCATGTAAATATGTCACATTTTGTTTTAACGTTGTTTTCCAAGTATTTAGGTAATGATGTGTTAACTTTACATTCAGATTTATGTTCCATTTCTTTTGGCTCTGAAATGGTATGCATGGTGAAAGGGAACTGTCTGTCTCTGACCTTTCCCAGGCTGAGGAAAAGGACGATGTGGTCAGAATGTGAGTGACCATCATGCTGATTATGTCTTCACAGGCTGACTGCAGGTCCTTCACAGATAGCATGCCTTTGTGGGATATAGATTTGGGGTTTACTCATTCCTTTGCTTTAGGCAGTACCATTCTAAATGAACTTTTTTAAAAAGATATTCACATCCCAGACAGTGTTTTTGATCCTGACAGTCCTGACTTAGCTTTTGACTTCCGTGAATCAGTGCTATTGTCAAGCCGAGCTCTGCTGTTGCCTTCACGGTGGGTGCTATTTAAGAAGGGTCTGCCTCTAAGGGACTCTATAATCAGTCTAGTCTGTGCATGGCATTAGTTCCAGCAATAATACATCCTGACACTGCATCATTCATGGGCTCCCACAAATAGGTCTGAAATACCAGTGTAAAATAAAATGCACAAACACATTAGTGGTGTGTGTGTGTGAGAGAGAGAGAGACAGAGAGAGAGAGAGAGACAGAGAGAGAGCGAGAGCTGTGTCTTGTTGGTAAAGGGGAATAGGGGAATGAAACTGAAACTTAGCTTGAGGAATTTGGAAGAATGATTTTTTTTTTTTTTTTTTTTTTTTTTTTTGGTTTTTCGAGACAGGGTTTCTCTGTGGCTTTGGAGGCTGTCCTGGAACTCACTCTGTAGACCAGGCTGGCCTCGAACTCACAGAGATCCACCTGCCTCTGCCTCCTGAGTGCTGGGATTAAAGGCGTGCGCCACCAACGCCCGGCTTGGAAGAATGATTTTAACACTGGACACAAAGTATTTTCTTTTCCTGTTCTCTCTCAAACCATTTCAGGTAGAAATACTGTTTAGTGGGACGTCTTTTCTGCTTTGACATCCAGGCATGAGAGATGAATCCAGTAATCCTATGCCATCCTTCATATTTACATCCATACACAGAGAAAAAAGACAGTTTGCTATTTTATAAGTAAGTCTGCTACTCTAGAGTTTATGCTGTCCTGGATAGCCAAGATGCCTGGTGTGAAAGAGCATTCATTATGAGTGACTTACTGAATGCTGGCTGTGAAATTTTGCAATTTTTCTTTCCTTTTGATTACTATTCTTAAAATCCTTCTCCCAAGTCTCTGGAGGCAGATGTAGGCTGATCTGAGTTCCAAGGCCAGCTTGGTCTTCAGGACAGCCAGGACTATATAAAGAAACCCTGTCTCCAAAAACAACCTAGATAAATTTTAAAAAGTCTGTTTCAAAACAAAACAAAATCAAAAAAACCTTCTCTAGTTGGTGGACATGGTGACACACACTTTTAATTGCAGCAATTGCGAGCCAGAGAGTTCTTAGAGAGTTCAAGGCTAGTCTGGTCTACATAGCAAGTTCCAGGGTATACAGTGAGACCTCTTTAAAACAAATACAAAGAACTAGTGACAAACTTTAAGCAAATACTTTTTAAGTTACAGTTATAGACAGTTAAGGAAAACATCAGTTTTTAGTATCAAATCCTCAGTGTGTATTGTTTGATTTCAAGTCTCCTAATTTGAAGTATGTGTTAAAATATTGCAGCCCAGTACAGTTGACTTTCAAAAGCTACTCATAAAACTCAGGACAGTTTAACCCTGTTAATTACATCACAGGTAAGGAGGCAATACTTTGTTTTGCCTGCCTTGTGCTCATCCCTGGGTATCCAACTTCTTACATCACACTCATGTGCTTCCTCAGTCTTTGCTCCAAACTCTGAAACTCATGTTTCATTTATCTTTCCTGCTCTTGTGGCCCTAAACAATTACAGGCTCAAATTTTGTGTTTCAGAGCCAGTCAAGACAGTGTGATGTCTTCCTGTCCTCCCTTTATCCCAGTAAATGCACAGCTAAGAGAAAGGAAAGACTGTGAGGATTCGGGGTTAAGGACTGCATGTTCTGAAGTGAAGGACTAGTAGGAAAAAGAAGCCAGGGTTCTGCTCCCAAACCTTCAGGACCTTGGGTAGTCCCCATGGGACTTTAAAAGACCCATATCTGAGTAGTCTGCTTGTCTAGCCTGCTGCAAGAGGGTGAGTGATGCAGAATGGACTTGGTGCTCACTGTCAGTGGCTGGTTCGTAATTGGTGAAAGTAATTTCTCTACTTTCTACCTTGCTAGAAAGGTTTTGCTCCATGGTTTGGTTAATGTGAGAATGGGTGGACATTAGGGACTGTCAGGTCTATTTAAAGAGGAAACCAGCTAATTTGCATTCTACTATTCCAAAAGCAGAACACTGCCTCAGACTTGACAAGACACATATTAAGTGTGAATCTATTTAAATGATTTGTTTTAAAACATAGCTTCTGATAGAAGAACGTTCATCTTGTAAATGAACAGAAAAAATTGTCTGGCTCTTTAAGTTGATTTTGGTACTCTAGTACCTGTTAGCACAATTTTTTTTTATCATAGCTTTTTAGCTATTTTACCTTTAAATCAACTCTGAAATGGTTCAATAAGTGTTAAGTTTATTCTTTGGGCTCTAGGTGGCAATTTCCAGTGAGCTTTAAATACCATTCCTGATCCACATGCCAATATGTCCCTCCAGCCCTCACTGAAGTCACTTCTGCAACAAGTTCTCTGGGAGAATATTGGTGATATGTTATCTTGGGGTAATTTTTTTTAAGTGTTCTGAGTTGCCTAAATAGAACACTCCCTGAATTATAAAGGATTTTTTTAAAAAATCAGAATTTATCCTATTCATTTAAGGGGGGGCACAAGTAACCTGGAATTTTTTGCCCTGCTTCAGTTCCTTAACCCCAGTGCTCAAGACACAGTGTTTGATGTAGCATTTTTTAAAAGTAAGAGCTGGCAAATGAGGAGCTTTTCTTCGGGTGGGAAGGCTGCGCTTTCCTGGGTATACAGATGTGGATATTTGAGAGCCTGTCTCAGATGTAGATTAACAGACCTCACTGCCTTCCAGGTGGAGGTGCGATGCCCTGCGTAGAACAGGCCCATCAGTTACCATTCTGATTGCTCCATACTGCCTTTCTCCACTTTAGAAAATCTCAATGAGCTCTTTGGTTAAATGGGTCGCTAGAATAAGGGACTTCCTCTGGTCATTATACTGCTATTTGTTTTAGAGCTCATTGCTAATGAGCAGTGTCAGTTGTTTTCTCTCTGACTTCACATCATAACAAGGAGAAGGAAGCTTCCCATTGCAACACAATAGATAATTGGAAAGCTTGGCCATGGGTAGTTTGTAGCTCAATTTATAGAACAGTCCAAAGAGACTTCTTGAAACATGACAGGCAGGGACCTTTTCCTATGTGTTTCAATACCTACATACCTATTGAACAAAACAGTAGGTAGACATTTCCTAAAGTTGAAGCAATAGCTTCATAGAGTCTTGGTTACTTTATTTTTTTTAATGCTTTACATTTGATACAACTATTAAAGATCAATTTTAAAATAACTTTCCAGTAATATATTTTAAGTAATATATTTTAATATCTATGTAAAAAGTGACAGTGGAAGACTGAATTTCTCATATATGGTATGTTTAATGTAGGATCTCAACTGTTAAGGCACAAATTATTTCAAAGGAGTTACTCTAAAAACACTCAGATTATTTACCCCCCCAAAAGAAAAATGCAATAAGGGGAATGATTTGGGGGGTCTTTATTTTTTATTTTAAAGGAAAATTGACTTATTTACCACAAGCTATTTTTCCCTCTCTGGTGATAAGGTTTGTACAGACTGGTTTGGTAAATTCTAAATTTTTGTGTCTTTTGCCTTTTTAAAGGAATTGTTAACATTGGAATTGAGGGTATGTACAGAGAAGTTGGTGTCGACGCCATTTAATAAGTCATATTTTTTCACAAATAAGGAAAAATCATTTTAATAAGAATTTTAAGTATTTGCAATAAATATATGTATATAGATTGTATGTATTCATATATTATTTTTCATTTTATTATTAAGTAAAAGATAATTAAAAGTGAAATTTAAAACCTTGTAGTTTTTTTGATGAATCTTGAGATCTGACATCTGGATGTGACATGGGGAAGGGCCCTCAAATAGTTGCCTTAAACAGTTATGGTAGTGTCACCACAGACTGGGAAGAGGAACTTGACCATAAGTCAGGGTAGTGTATTTCACAACTTAAGTAAAAATATTAAAACTTCACCGCTTATCTGTCTTGTGTTTTTACCCTCATCTGTTCTTTCTCTTAACCATGTAATATCACTAGAAGGGTGAGATAAACGGTAGTCTCTTGTAGCAAGCCTGTGGTTTCTTGTAGCACCAAATGAGCTAAAGAGATGTTAGGGGAAACGGGCTTTTTATATATCAATTGACGCTTTGTTAAACATTGCTCCCACTACATACCAAGCCCTGGGTATGTTGAAGAACTATTATCCTCTTAAAGATACAAAAGGCTTGTTTTCTGTTGCCCAATCATTATTCCAAGGTGAGTTTCATAGCCAAATTCATGGCCTGCTTGATTGATCTAGGCAGGTCAAATACTACATCTGTGTCAGAGAACGTCTGTGCTTGATTAGGCTCTGTTTCCATGTGGTTGTGAGGATGGCTTGTATCAAGAAGAGTATTTAGGGAAGTGAGCAGTAGCAGAATATTTGAAGTTAATTATCTTTGGTACCACGACTGGATTACTGTTGAATCAAAGAAGTCACTTGTGGTTGAAAAATAAATGGGGAGAACAGAATATCTACATAGAGGGTCTTAGAGATAAAGGTAGATCTCCTGTTGTATAACATAGGTAGTGAAGGACAGAGATGGAGTTCAGTGATAAAATTACCTGCTCTTCCTGAGTGCTGGGATTTTAAAAAGTATCTTTTGAGTCCAACATCTGAATTACGGCATAAAACATTGAAGTTCAGCCATCCAAGAGGTCTAGAGATCTCAGTTGCCAGTATTATATATAAGTAACAAATTTCTCATGAGGACCTGACTGCAGGACCCCTGTGATACCAGTTCTAGGGAGTGAAGCAAGACTCATCTGGAGGTTTCCTGGCCAGTTAAGCTCCAGGTTCAGTGAGAAAACCCTTTCTCAAAAATAAGGTGGAGAATCAACCTCTACAAGTGTCCATGCAGGCAAGTGCACTTGAATACATATGTTTGCACAAACAAAAGGAAATTCTGTGAACTCAGGGAACATGTATTTGTGTCATAATTCCTACTCATGAAAGCAACGATAGTGAGATAATTCCCATTTTTAAGCTGGGCATTGGTGGCACACGCCTTTCATTCCAGCACTCAAGAGGCAAAGGAAGGTGGATCTCTGTGAGTTCGAGACCAGCTTGGTCTACAGAGCAAGTTCCAGGACAGCCTCCAAAACAGAGAAACCCTGTCTAAAAAACAATAAATAAATAAATAAATAAATCCCATTTTTGTAGCAGTACATATTGATCTCAGTCCCATAGTCACGTGATATAGGACTCTATTTACTTTCCAGAGTCTTGGAAACCTATGTTCATTATGTTTTACACTACTTTATTTCAACTGGTTTTCAGTCACATTGAACATTGCTCAGCTTTTATATACAAACCCTGTTACTTAAATATTTATTGGGTGCTTTTTGTGTGCTCAATGTTGCCAAAGTGCTGAATATACGAGGATAAGACAAATTCACCTAAACAGTTCTTCCTAAAATGCAACCCTGCAGCACTGGCTATAGATTTTAGTATCCAAAAGAAGTATAAGTGAGTTGATCACTGAACAAAGCAGTAGTGACATGAAAAAAAGTGTCATTGGATGGAAGCAGCCAACGTAGACCTAAGGGACCACAGTAATAAGATGTACCTTTTGGGATCATTGGAGTGTAGAGAGGTAAAGTGAACAGCTAGGGCACACACAACTTTATGGAAGTTTTAAACGTTGAGTTTCATATTCTTGCTGAGAAGAAACAGTCCCTTCATTTGAAATCTTGTGTCCTTGTTTTTTCTCCACAGTGGATGGATAGGATCACTTTAATAAGTAATCTCAATATTGTAGAATTGCCCTTAAGCCACTGAATGAAAATGCACTTCAACCTCTTCTTCCTTAGGCCCCAGTCCTAATTCTCTAGGCCTTTCTGGGAGGTAAAAAGTCATGGTCAGTACTTGCTCTTGAATTTTCCTCACCTCTTGTCTTTAACTAGATATTTGGGTTCACAATCTGATTTCTGTATGCCAAAATATCTGTATCTACACTTCAAAGGGAGACTCAGTGTATTTCACCAAGCTCTGTCCAGAACTCTTGCTGCCCTTGGGACATCTCACAGTATTTCCCTATACAGTAGTTTCACCCTTCCCACCTAAGATGGGGAGTTCCCAGAAGGCTTTTAGAACAGGAAAAAGGAGCCCTGAAAAGGCCAGATGGTCAGTTGTGGAGGCCGACTGTGACTAGATGGTGGCTTCTCCCGAGAGGAGTCTCATTTTCTTGTTCTTGATACTTGAAGCTGAGGGGTAGAAATAAAAATCAAAAGTTGATTTTCATCTTAACTGCAAAACTTAAAGGATCCCTTGGGGAGAAGAGGGGTAAACCCAAGATGGGTTTTTTTTTTTTAATGGGCTCCAGTAAAATTTCAGTTGAGTGCCTTAAGGACTTTTAAAAGATCACGGGTTCATTTAACATGAGTCACCAAGAGTGTTGCATGGAATTTGCTATGGGACATGGATGAAAAAGCTAGTTTTCTGTGAATAATGACAGCTTTTGCCACAAGTCAGGGCTTTGGGCTATGTGTCTGTATCTGAACTTCATGAACTATTAGTCCAACTGAAGCCAACACTCAAGTTTTATTAAATTTAATCAAGATGCTCATGAAATTGGACTTTTCCCCTTCAAGTTAGCAATTCCTTTGCAGTCAGGTTTTCAGGCAGTATTAACGTTTGCAGACTTCAGGAGTGACCCTGCTGAGCCCTGTCACTTCAACATCTAAAATGGAACTGTGCCAGAGTCACTGGTCCATCACGAGTGGTCAGTGGAAGGGATGAGGGTATGGTCACATGCCTGAAGTTCCTGACAGCTGGCAGGTGAAGGCTGCAAGATGAGCTCAAGATCATCTTCAGCTGTGGCAAGTTCAGGACCAGACTGGGCTACATGAGACCCTATCTCAAGAGGGAATCCCCTGGGCTGGGAATATGATGCTTAGTCAAACTGTTCTTGAAAAAAATGTATATTTCTTGAATATATGAAAGATCTAGAGTACACAACAAATGAATCTCTACAAGTTAGAAAGTGTTCTGTAGCCGTAAGTGCTTCGGTGTTTTTAGACCTCCTAACTAGGTTAGTTTCTACAGCACACTTTTCACCAGCAGCAAGAGTCAGAACAGAAGAGATGGGCTTAGCATTACTTGCTGGCTGAAATCTTTGTGCATATAGTCCTCAGCGCTTTGACACAGTCTGCCTTTCAACTCCACACTATCGTCCTTTCACTTTCTACTCTTCTTTTATTGGTACTGCAGAAGCTGTCTTCTTGAATGTATGTATGGTTCTGTCTTAATGACTCTTGTTAAATAAAGGCATAAAGTTTTACTCTATTTGTTGTGCCTTTTCTTTCCTAAAGGAATGGGACACATGGTACTTGCCTTACTTGCTGCTGGTCTCTTCCCTGGTTCATCACTTAATGTTTCAGACACATTCAAAAAGAGTTCAGGAACTCAGTTTAAACCCCAGTCTGTCTAAAAAAAAAAAAGGTAAATAAAGAAAAACATGTTTATATTGGCTTATTTTACCACCACTGTTAGGAGTTTGGTGTTTTCCTCTCTAAGATTATACAGTTTTTCTAGACTGATTTGCAGCCATGTTTGGAAGCTTTAGAATACTGTCAAGGGATCCATCATAATACTTAGTCCAATCTTGACCCTTAGTCCTTAGATATCTAATGATGAAAATCTGCCCAAAGATTGTATGGGCTCACAGCCAGAAAAGTTAATAAAAGATAGTTTCAACTCTAGTATCAAGCTCCTCCTTCTTTCCCAGGAAAGTTTACTTCAGGGTTGAGACAGAAGGGAAAGGATCTTTCAGACCACGGTAGCTTTGCACTATTGGAGAATGGGAACTGCAGGTGTCACTATTGTGGAAAGGACAGATGTCAAAATCGAGATAGAACCTAAGCTGCAGAAGCCCTTGGCTCAAAGACAACCAGGAGAGTTGGTCTTGAATGAGTTCGGAGTGAATCAGGAAGGGTGATAGCTGTTGAATTGTGCCTGCAGACATAATGTGTATCATTAGATTCTTTAACTAGGATGGGGGCTGGTCACAATAGGGTTGTGTTAGGCATCAAGTCTTCTGTTCTTCCCTGCTGTTCACTTAGATGCAGCAGGTGGCAAAAGCTAGGACAGCTTTGAATACCCAACATGTGATGATGTGAGTGCTATGACATTCCTAGCACTTTCCAGGGTAGAGTTGGTACCAGTAATTGACAGTTTACATAGTTTGGATGTATGTGGATGTCCCAATGAGTTAAATATTCCCATGTGCTATAACAAACAAGAAGTCTTTGGGTGGGGGGAAGCGGAGTGTGGTGGCACACGCCTTTAATCCCAGCACTAAGGAGGCAGAGACAGGTGGATCTCTGAATTAGAAGCCAGCCTGGTCTACAAAGCAAGTTCTAGGACTGTTACACAGAGAAAACCTATCTACAAACCAGCAAACAAAAACAAACAAAAAAACAGTAACTTGAAGGAATATAAAGAAAGTTTTGTCATAGGGAATTAAGAGGTATGTTTTCTAACTTTGAAGTTTTTGCAGCAAAATTTGCAGTAAAAAGTAAATGTTTTTATTTTCAATAGCAAATGTATGAAAGTATACATCCTATTTTGCTTTTCTGTTACTGTGATAAAATATTAATCAAAAGAACTGAGGGAGGGAAAACCTTACAGGGTATAGCCTACTATTGGGAGAAACCAAGGCAAAAATTCAAGACCAGAGCTTGAAGTAGAAACTAAAATAGGAACACTGGTTACTGGCTTGCTTCCCACAGTTTGCCCAGCTTACTTTATTACACAGCCCAAGACCGGCACTGCCCACAGTGGACTGGGCCCTCATGAGTCAGTAGTAAAAAGAGAAACCTTGCGCTTTGGTCTACAATGACCTGTCTGCATGGTGTGCTGGTGCAGTAGTGGCACAGCAGCTGGGCGGTGGTGGCACACACCTTCAGGAGGCAGAGACAAGCAGATCTCTTGAGAGTTCGAGGCCAGCCGAGAACACACAGAGAAACCCTGACTTGAAAAACTGAAAAAAAAAAAAAGAAAATCTATATCCAAAGCTACCAATCAAAACTAGTTCTGGCAAGAGGACAGGTTCATTGTGTAGGGTGCCCCAGAAGTAAACTCAGAGGCAAATGATTTTCAATGTCATGGGAAATGTGGGAAAGGGCAGTTCTCAACAAATGTGAACACTTGTTAACTTGATCATGTGTAAAATAATGAGACCCTTATCTAATGCTTAGAAAGTCAAGCAGAAGAAAGCAGAACATGCTTTATAGTTGGACTTGACAATGGCTTTCTGGATATGAAAAGGCAGAAAAGGAGAACAGTGAATACAAACAGAGCTTACGCTGGGCATGGTGGTACTCAGGAAGAAGGAGCAGGCAGATCTCTTGAATACCAGGCTAACCTGGTCTACATAGGTAGTTCCACACTGCACAGTGCTACTAGTGAGATCTTTCTCAAGAAAATAAAAAAAATTAAAACAGCTTAAAATTTTGTGCATCAGCTGGGCAGTGGTGGCACTCACCTTTAATCCCAGCACCTGGGAGGCAGAGGCAGGTAGATTTCTATGAGCTCGAGACCAGCCTGGTCCATTGAGCTAGTTCCAGGACAGGCTCCAAAGCAATACAGAGAAACCTTGTCTTGGAAAGCCAAAAAAAAAATGTACATCAGAGAACATTATGAGTAGAATGAGAAAACAACCTGGAGAATGATAGAAAATACAAATGATACCCAATAAATTCTGGACTTATGAGGAAAAAGGTTGGGGGCTGTCTTTTTGTGTATTTGACCTGGAACTTGCTCTAACATCCTAGTCTTTCTAACCCTCAGATAGTGCCACTCCCTGATTATTGAACATTCAAATATGGGGGTCAATTTTTATTCAAACCACCACAGGGGCAAAAGATTTGAATAGATTTTTTTTTTAACCCTGAAGTCAGTATACAGATGGCAAAAAAAAAAAATGTCTTGGAAAGTACTAGGAGAAAAGGGAACCCTCGTGCCTTGGTGGTAAAATGCTCAAGACTGACCAGTAGGTTGACAGTTATGTTTTGCCTTTGTGACAAGCACTTGGAGGAGGAAGTCTTTAGCTCCTGGTTTCAGTCCATGGCCAGCCGTCTCTATTACTTCTGGATGACAGTGACGAGACAGTGTTGTCACGACAGAAGGGACTTGAGAAGCAAGTGAAAGGCAGAGGTGGCTGGGGTGTGGAGGGCAAAGAGCATCCTTCCAGCACGTGGCCCTGGTGACTGTCTCTTCCAATTGGCTCTGTCCATCTTCTCTCCCCTCTCCAGACCGTACCAACGTGAGCCTGCCGTGTGCACTCCCCATCCCAGCCGTCCCGGTATATAGCCAGAGAAGTAAGCACAAAGGGACCCAGATCTTTTATTTCTGAGACAGTTATGTTCAAGCATGTTTGTACATCAATTTTTGTGGCATTGCTATAGCCTTACAGAAGCAACCCGTGAACCTTCACAAACAGATGGGAAAAGGTGTTTTATAAATACAGTAGTAGGACATTATTAAGCCTTAAAGTGGGAGGAAAAAGTGATATTTGGCAACATGTTCAACCTTGAAGTCATGCCCAATAAATAAACCAGACACAAAATTGACAATCACTGATGATTCCAGGAATATGAAACTTTAGAGTAGCCAAAACCACAGCCAGGAGTGAATGGATGAAAGAAAATGGGAATCATGTCTAATGGGTTCAGAAGTTCCAAAAAATAGGAAAAATTGTGCTGTGGTGGGTATTATAGTTCTGACTGCCAACTCCCCACAGTGTAGCATTATGTAGGAAGGAAGTCTCAATGAAGAACTATGTTAGTTATGTTGGTCTATGTACATACCTATGATGGCTTTTTCTCAATTGAGTTCAGGTGGGAAACTCAACCTTGAGAGTGGGTAGCACAATTCCCTAGGCCGGGCCCTGCATGTAAAGAAGTTGCTGAGCCATTGTTTGCCTGCGTTGTCTGCTCTGTGCTCCTAATTATGGATGTGACACAATCAATTCCCTCAAGCTTCTGCTGCTGTTAAGTCAGGGTGAGTTATAGCAACAGGAAGCAAAACTAACACAGCAGGTTTCACAACAGTGTGAACGTACATTATGTAAGTTGTTGTTACTGTACTTTGTGGATGTGTGACTTATGTAAATGCCACCTGTGTGCCCTATGTGCACATGCGTGTGGTCTTTATATGTGCTTGCAGAGCCAGAGGAAGATGATGGGTGTCTTGCTTAGTCAGCTTTCTCTTGTTCTTTGAAACAGTGTCTCTCACTGAACTTGGAGCTAGGATCCAGGGCAGCGCAGCAAGCTCCAGGGATCTTGCTGTTTCTGTCCCCAAGCACCACCGTCACAGTGGTGGGGGCTGATTTGTTACTGGCTTTCACTTGATCGTACATTTCTTTTGGCCTTGGTTTTTTTTTTTTTTTCCCCCAGTGCTGGGTGTTGATTCTTTCCAGACAAGCATTCCACCGCCGAGGACTCTCAGTCTCCAGCCCCCTCAGCTCACTTGTTCATCTGTGTTGTCAAGTGTATGAAAAGCTGGTTCCTCTTTATTGCTGGGCACTATTGTGTGGTTGTTTTTATAGTTTAACCAGTGAGTGACTGAGTTGGTTTTAACCCTTTCCTGTTCCTAACAAAGCTGCTTTTGTACACATCTTCAAATGGGCATATAATTTGGTTTCTCTCTGGATAAAGTGACGGCAACATGGTTAGCACTCCATGAGATACTTGATTTCCTAAACAATTGTAATAATCTATGTTCCTACACACAGTATGAAGATTCAGCCCTTCTGTGTCCTTGACAACATTTGGGTCAGTGTTTTGGCCATTTAAACAGATGTGTAGTGGCATCTCTCCAGGGATGCATGCTTGACACCCACAAGTGTGGGTTAACTTTTAGATACGGTGAGAGGTATAGCCCAAAGTGCACTCAGCATCTTGATTTCCAGTTGCTCTAGCATGGTGTTTGTTTTGAGACAGGGTTTCTCTGTGTAGCCTGGATGTCCTAGAGTTCACTCTGTAGATCAGGCTGGTCTCGAACTCAGGGAGCTCTGCCTGCTGCTCCAGCACATTTTAAAAGACTAGTATTTCCACAGAAGACGTTTGTTCCTCTGTTGAGAGTGGGTAGCCTAATGTTTTGGACTCCATTCTATTGGCATAGCTGTATATCTTTGAATGTTGCAACATTGTATTACTCACTGCAGCTTTAAGAGTTCTTGAAGTCAGGTCATGTTATTAATCTTTCAACTTTACTTTTATAAAATCGGATACACTGTATTAGATATTTTATTTCTATATGAATTGGAGTACCAGATAACCAGT